AATCCCAATAAATTACACTGCATAATAAGTAAAATATTAACAGCTACAAACAAAAAAGCTATTCAAGATTTCACCATGTTTTTTGTTTTAGCTCGGACAGAAACGCAACAGTTCAAAAACATGCCTGCATCTTATTCTGATATTCATTTGCATCTTTATGCAAGTGAATAGAAGAATTCTAGCAAAATCTTAGAAGATTTTTTTTCAAATCTTTTCAGGATTTATAGTGACTATGGTATGACATTCATGGCATGGAACCTACTTACCTGTTGGATTTTATTGTCACATAATCCTTGAAAACTCATTAAAATGGAGATTTTAATATTAGTTTAACTGCTACACTAACTTTTCCTTTCAAAAGACTTTTAGTAAGAGACAAGTACTTCAATGAAAATTTTTAATGCATTTCGTTCATTCGTGTTACATTTTTTAAAAAAATGTCTTTTTTATTCAAACTGAAATGATAAGCAATCAATGTGTTAAGTTTAATATTTAATGTTTCGAATGTTTCTTAGAATAATATGTGTTTATACAAAGTTCAAATAGAAATTAATAGTTGAGAGAGAATTTAACAGGTCGATGGTTTAAGTACAATGAAATAGTGTGATCCAGTCTAGTGCGGTAAATTAATCGATTTGTAAATTGAAGACCTAGAGATCGATACTCTATGCGGCCATTTCTTCTCTTTTCTGCTTAGAAAATCTTGCAAAGATTCCGTCATGCAATCGGATAACATCGGTAAAGAATCTTGATGAAATCCTGCGAGATGAAATCAGAAAATATTTTTTCAGTTAGATATCATTGAAATGCTAACAAAAGTCTGACAAAATTAATGGAAAGAAGCTTAGAATCCTTTTAAGATCTTGCTCTAATCATATTAAAATCGTTGTTGCTTCATAGCTGCATGTTTCTCTAAGGATTTTCCGCTTCTTTAAAATATTCCTTATTAGAATTGTTTTAATAAACTGCTCAGAACCCAGTGAAAATTCTGTTTTAATCTTGCTCAAATTATGGAATTCTGTGACTGCGCGATTTTTTCAAGATTTTTGCAGTTTCTTGTATGATTTCCGGTTGCAAAACAGTAATAAATTGTTCACGATCTTGATCGAATTCCGATTCGCATCGTCTCAGCATCATAAAATTCCGTGGAGACATCTTTTTCTCAGAGTTTCCAGTTCCCTCAGAAAAAACAGCGAACATATGCAGGGCCTTGTCAGATGTCAGAGAACTGCAAAAACTTCAGATATTTGGCATAAGGGAAATTCATCATTATTCATTAGATTCTATTGAGGTCCACAAAATTTCAGCAGGACCCACTAATTTTCACAATAATATGAAATAAATATGGAAAACATGAATATTGATGGATTCTATTAGATCGTATAGGTCGCAGAACCCATCAAGATGTATCAAAAAATTTATCGTCACTCATCTGAGTTTCAATCTCCAGCATTTCCATTCTCTTCCTTGTCAGAAATTTCACGACCTATTCTCTATCTTTCTACTTCGTTCCCAAGGATTCTAATCGATTAACATGAATTTCAATAAATCCTGGGATACATCACAACTGACTCTCTTTCCTTTGTAAATAGACTATTAAGAGTTGCAAAAATAGTACATGAAGATCACATTGATTCATCTAGAACATACTTTGGATTTTATATCCTTCTTTTATGAGTCTCGTTAATTTTCTTGGGTTTTGTGAATATTCAGAACATTAGCTTATGCCTGATGGGGCCTAGGATCCACCAGGAGCTGCTTTTCCCCTTGATACCTCTGCATACAAGCAAAGAAATTTAGCCTAAAAACTACTAGTAGACCAGAAAAAAATGAAGCCATCTAGCACAGGATTCGAACCCATGTCGCATCACACGCGCTATATTAATCACTCGGCTATATGCAAAGTCCTTGTATTTTTCTTCCTCTAATTTCATTCTTCACATTGTCTATTAAAATGTTGTTCTAGTGAGCATTCACAAATAATAATATAATGAAATACGATCAAATACACACTACTCACATGTCAACATGAATCAATATTATTTCATTTATTTAAGAAACTTATATCTTGTTTAATCACGAGCAGTACAAAACTACAAAATAAAATAAAAATGACATTTGCCATAGTATTTTTTTTAAAGTCATTAATATTATTAACAAAATGCTAGTTTTAAGGATAGAAGAAAATGACACGTTTATAGATCTATAATGGTATGCGGAAAAAAACACATTACAAAAGAGTAGGAAGTACGAATGAATGTAACAACTACACCCACCCCAACACCTTCCATTATAGCTCTAATGAACTTATTTGCAATATTCAGAGACAATGATATTCGTCAAATAGTAGCATGTGCTTTTGGATATATGTCTCATGAGCATATAGATAAAATTTTGCTTGAAAATATAATATCGGTATTGAACAGTGTGTGTAATGAGACTTTTCCTTATTCTAATAATGTTTTGAGCACACTAATTTTAAGTTATTGTTATTATGCATATATATAAAACGATATTGCTTTTGATCAAGATGATTTGAATTTATTTTCCACTTGGTTACAAATTGATACACAGAAAATTTTGAAAGCTGTTCTTACAGGATTTGCTCGCATTATTCAAGATACATCATTTCTATTTGAAATGCTTACTTTTGATTATTTGCAGTGCTATTATGCATTGATCGGATCAATAGCATCTTGACATATTTACGATGTTCAAAGAAAAAGTGACAATGTTGTCGTAAAGTTTATGGAAGAACATCCAATTCTTTTGTCAGTTTTTATGGTCGAATTATACAATCAGATTCGTAATTTTACTGCTAAAATATTATCGATGGTAGATAGAGGTTTTGATTTAGCTTTCGAATATCTTCAATATGTAAGTGTCGCTAGTTTTATCGCTATACATATGCCAACAGCATTTTGTGCTTTTATCAAAGATTGGAGGAATTGAGATAATGTAAAACGTGCATTATTTTCAACATAATTTTCCACAACGTGCTGTTTGTTTAACAATTCTATTTTTGTCGGAATGGTTAACACTCGACTTAAGTGACATGTTCATTGAAATTGTACGTGATGATTCAACTGTTCAAAACAACGATTATAAATGTATAACACACATTCATAAAATTACAGATCAAAAAGTCGTTTTAAATCTTTTGTTATCTTGTACGAAATCAGAATCAATGAATGTTCGATATATTACAGCTAAAACGCTTCTTCATCTTTCTTCATTATCTCTTATTTCATGTCAGCAATTTCAAACTATATTCAATGATCTTATGGATAAAGACAAAAACAAATTATTTGTTTTCTTAAAATAATAATTTTTAAGCAAGATTTATTTTACCTTGAATATATATTTGATGAAGAAAAAAACAGAAAAATATCTTTATTGCTGAACAATTTTTTTTTCTCGTTCTACAATGAAAATAAATATTAATTTTAGTCCTAAAAAGGATTTTGTGGATTTTATACTAAATAAAATATCGATTAGAATATTGTCGTACGACGGTGAATCCGCGTAAGATAAACAATATTTTGATGTAAATCTCTGTGATAATAATAAAGATATACGAAAGTCGAACATTTGGAATCGGGTTCGGTTTTAATTGTATTCATTTTCAGTTAATTAATAGAAGGATTTCAGGTTTGGCTATAGATAGATCTACACATAGTGAAATGAATAAGTCCAAACCGAAAGTCTGCAGGCATTTTTAAAAAAGTCAACAACATTCAGAAATATTCAAACCGAAACTTAAACACGCCTTAGAATGCTTCTAGCTTCGTCCATAGATGTCAAAAAATACGAGGTTTATTGTCCCAATATCCAACATTCTCTGAACTTCTTGAAATGTTTCCAAATCGAAATACATACCCAAACTATTCGTCTCCAACACCGAGTCAGAATTCGGAAGCGACGTATACCTAGATGAAGCTAAATATTTTATGTAATATCATCATCTTCGTTATCAAAAAATGACGAGTATTTTCAGTCTTCTGCAAGTATTGTTGTAAGAGTAATATCAAAAGAATAACATTCTACTTAACAATGTTGCATATCTTTGTTTATATCCGATTGAAATAACGAAAAAAATGATGATCTTTTACTTTTTAAAAATTCATATAACTAATGTAACAATATGTGATAAAATACANGCCACCCACACTCATACCCATTCCCACACACATACACCCTTAATGAAATTTGTTAAATGTCAAGTGATTTAGGCGGTACAAGACGTTTGCACTTGACCATGAGTCAAAGTATAAAAGAAAATTTTTCTTTTTTTTTTAAAATCGCAAATCCTATTAGATTCATCAGGGTTAAAAACCTATAAGAAAACGTAATTTTAGAATGATTTCATGAAATCATTCTAAAATTATGTTTCTGTCAGAGATGGGATCGGTTCAGGTTTTTCAACATTTAAACCGAACCGAACCGAAACCGAAAAATTGTTTAAGAATGCTAAACTGAACCGAAGTGAACCGAAAACGAAAGTTTTCAAACCGAACCGAATACGAATCTTTTCTAACCAACCGAACCGAAGCGAAACGAAAAATAATTTTTTTTAGAAGCTTACTATGGATAACTAAAACTAAATAATAGTCAGGTCGACTTGTGTTTCTTACTCCAAACGTCTTTCACCTATTATACGTCAATATATATATGTCCTTTTGTTTCACCATCATTGATTTTTAATTTACTCTTGTTCAAAATAGTTAAATTTCAAATACCAATCATAAAAACAGAAAAAAAACCTGAGAAGAAACAAATGTAAAAGCAAAAAAAACACATATACACAAAATATTTCAAACAGTTCCGAAATACCATTTGTTCTTGTTTAATTATGTTGGGCATTGAGTTTGCTATATTTTTGGAATGAGTTTTGAAAAATAGTATCATTCACTATTTCAGGAGATAATCTTGAACGTTTTTTGTTACGATATTTCCTGCCAAAGAAAATTCACGTTCGACAGCAGTACTAGTTGCTGGTACTACAAAACACGTTTGACAATTTTTGCTAAACGTGGAGATAATGTATGATGATGCTTCCGAAAATGTAATGGATTATACTCTTGATCAGCTGAAGAAGACGAGTTTGAGCTGCATGATTCGTTTAATTTATCTATTCCAAATTTTAAATAGTTGTACATCTCTGATTGATGTATTGCAGCTGTTGTTGTTGGTAAATCATTTTGTTCATCTTCTTGTTCATAATATTGCTGCATTATTCGAAGAGTTCTATTTACTATATCAGATGTTTTTCTTATTGATTTATTGTTTTTGTTCTTCAATTCTGTACCATTATCAAGTATATCAAACATAATCATTTCTTGTTTTATGTATTCTAAATATGAATTTCGTTGATTATCAGTACATTGTTTCATTTTTCTAGTTCTTGGATTGAGAAATAAAGTCATAAGATGAATAAGATGATAATCAAACATAACTTCCATCAATAATCTTCCATGTGTTCGAAAAAACAGGGTGGGTATGGGTGTGAGTGTGTGGGTGTAGGTGTAGGTGGATGTGGATGTGGATGTGGATGTGGATGGGTATGAGTGGGTGTGGGTAGACATGCACCGAACCCGGGAACGTACTGGGATTCCCTGGTCCGAATTCCCGGGTTCGGTGAATCCCGGGTTCGGTCATTCCCGGATTCGGTAATTCCCGGGTTCGGTCATTTAGAGTACCTTTCGGTCCTTAAGTTCTACTATTGGGGGTGCCCTTGGGTCCTCAAGCCCTACTATCAGGGGCACTCTTGGGTCCTCAAGTCCTACTATTGGAGGTACTCTTAGGCTCTCAAGTCCTACTATTTAGGAGTACCCTTGGACCTTCAACTACTACCATCAGAGAATACCCTTGGCTCATCAAGTACTTTTATTGGGGAGCGGGGGAACCTTAGATCCTCAAGTGCTACTATTAGAAGTACCCTTGGGTCCTCCAGTTCTACTATTGAGGGGTATTCTTAGGTCCTCAAGTACTACCATTAGGGGATACCAAGTGGGAAAAATCGGATCCTGGGTCCTGGTGGATCTTGGCGGATCCTGATGGACCCTTGTGGATCCTGATGGATCCTGATAGAACCTGATGAATTGTAGAAAAAGCCATTTGAAGTATCCCAAAAAGAAGATGGAAACAGCTGAGCCTAATAGATGCAAGAACCCATTAGAGTCCAAAGAAACTAAATGAAAAATAGAAAAAAAGTGACTTCAGAATTTGTGACGAAGAAGAAAGGGCAGATCCAGGACACTGGAATGCTTATGTGTCTCAGTATATTTTGGAGTATCGTGTTCAATTGTGCATTTTTTTTAGGACCGATCAGGATCTACGCTTCCTCCATCGATCTCGTAGTATCTTTATGCGTAGTGGTTTCTGCTGCATTCTGGTTGTCTCTGATATTTTGTAATGGATTTTATTGAATTGTAGTTAATTATAGTAGGTTGTGACAACTTTAGTACACTTCGATAAATCTATGCTATAATCTATTAGGGCCCATGAATCCATCAGGATCCGCTATTTTCTCGATTGGCCTCAGTGTAGCAGAACTTAAGTCAATTTGCTACTCTAGTCTCTACCCTAATCTCAATCCTGGTCATTCCTTCAGAAATCCTGAAAGGATCTTTCAGGATCCTGAATCTCAAGGATCTTGTCAAATTTTATTCAGGGTCCTGTTTCGAATCCTAGTAATTTCTGGTTCCAGGATTTTTCAAGGTGAAACAAGATCCTGTTCAGGATTTCTTCAAGATCCTGCTCAGATATTTTTCTCAGTTCAGAATATAGGATCCTATCAAGATTTACTCAAGATTCTATCAAAGATCCTCTCAAGATTATGAGAGAGAATTCTACCAAGATTTTATCAGGTTCTCGTCAGGATCTAGGTCAAATCTTCGTACCAAGATCTTGTCAGAAGTGATAGCCACATCAGACAAGAATCTTGCCAAGAAGATAAAAAGATCAGTCGGAATTCGAAACTGATTAATCCTGCAAAGCTACAATCAGGATCTTGATAGGCAAATGTAAGGCTTTAGTAAAGATCTTTACATGTTACTGCTTAGTCCACTCAGCCGTGTCCATTTCCTGAGATACCTTTGAGCGATCTTTCAGAATCATAAACCTAAAGGATTCTGCCTGGCTTGATTCAGGATTCCATCCAGGATTTGTTAAAGTTCTTGCACGGATTTTTTTTTGTGAATTGATTTTACATAATCTTACTAAGATCCATTGTTAATCCTATCTAGAAACCTGACAAAAATCATAAAGAGAATTTCGTCAAAATTTTATTAGGTTTGATGCAAGATCTGTTCTGGCTTCTGATATGAGGATCCTGTCAAGAATTATAGTTATATCAGAGAAGAGTCATACCAGAAATACAACAAGCTTAGTCAGAATTCTAAACTAAGAAATCCTGACAAACTTCGATCAGGTTCCTGAGCGGAACTGTTCAGAAACAGGCATTTCGAATGTTTAAAAAATACAAGCATGACCAGGATCTTGATAAGAAAATACAAGGAGTCCGTGAAGGTGTTTCCAGGCTTGTGTTTAGAGACAATTCAAAATTTAGTTTTAGGATTCTGTCAGGAATCTAGCAATAATGAATGAAACGGCTTCGTGATGTTTTTAGCTAGGTTCAGGTCGAGACCCTTTCAAGATTTGTAAATCTATAGATCACAACAAAACTTCAATAAGGATGTTGAGCAAAATCTTAACAAAAACCAATAGAAGGATTTTTCAAGATGTTATTGTGTTTTTGTTCAAAACACGACAAAATTCTGAGAACTATATAATCCACTGGCATTTTTATCCTGATCTTGATTTGGTCCTTTTCATTAACAAATTGATCGAATCTTAAAAATCTTAGAAAACAATTTCTAAATCTGTTTAAATTTTATATAAAAGTTGTTTTGAGGTTTGGACTACAGCAGTAAGCTCTTCTTTTTATCTCATTAGGAAAAGAAAATTGAAAATCATTAAATTAGGGTGTTTATTTGAATTTATTTACCGTAAATTTTTTTATTAAATTGATAGTTTTAGTCAGCAGCAAATCTTTCGATAAAAACTGCTTATAACGGGTACCATATAATAAATGGCCGGTTTTCTCATCAATGAAAGTATATAGAGTTTATCCATATTTTCCACTTATTTATACATCATGTATTTGGACTGTTCAAGACCTACATAAATACAAAAGATCAGCTGTACAAGTGCTTTTTAGATTTAATTTAAATATAAAGTCTAAGGATATACGAAAAGTAGTACTGTGAATGACTGATGATGGAATGTCATCACTACAAATTGCTAAACAACTACGAAAGGTGGTCAGTGAGCGAACAGTCAGACGATGGCAACATTCATATAGAAGCACCGCTACAATTGACTTGAAAACACCTGCTGGTAGACCCAGAATTATACGAACAAAAAATCTTATTCGAAAAGTCAAGAATAGGTTTATTTACAAAAGTCGACAAAGTGCAAGGAAATTAGCTAATTTACTTGGTATTTCGAAGGGGACAATCGGTTGCATCATTCATGACAATCTTCATTTACATGCTTATCATGTTACGATTGAGCCAAATTTAAATTATGAACATGAACAACGAAGAGTATCATTCGCATATTGGGTACGAAAGTGGTTAAGAAAAAAAGATCGAGAAAAAATCTTATTTACTGATGAAAAATACTTTGAATTAGATGGCATTTTCAATCGTCAAAATGACCATGTTTATGCTCCCTGTAAACAAGATGCCGATGAACACAAAGGAACAAGGCCGACGGCCAAGTTTCCAAAAAGAATTATGGTATGGCTTGCTGCATCAAAAAATGCTCTTTCACTTCAAATTATTTTTGAGCCCTGTGAAGCATTAACACACGAAAAATTATATTGAAATTGTTCTGCCACATGCACAAGCTGAAGGTCAACGACTCTTAGGTGGTGATTTTATCTATCAACAAGATAATGCAACCCCATGCAAGCACAAAGATTCAATAGCATGGATTAAGAAGAACTTTCCTAGATTTATTGATGAAAATCAATGGCCCCCCAATAGTCCAGACCTTAACGTTCTAGACTATTATGTGTGGGATGCTGTAGATCATAATTTGCATTGGGATAAAGTCAAAAATTATAATTCATTAATTGATGAAATTAAAAAGGGTATAAATCGTGTACCGAAAAATTGTCTCGTTTGCAGTGTTCAAAACTGGTCATGTAGAATTTTTTCTATTTTAAAAACAAAAGGTGCTTATATTAGATAACATTTTTTCTGCAGGTTATAGTAATAGCTATGCTGTGTGTTATGCGATATTTTGATTTTAAATAAAGCTTGTCAGATACTATAAAGGTTAAGAGCAAAAACCGGCCATTTATTATGGGGCACCCGTTAGTTTTGATTATGTTTGAAAAAAAACTTTAAAATACATTTTTTAAATCGAATTGAAATTAAAAAGCAATCAAAATATATTTTTTAAGCAATTAAAATTAAAAAAAATTCAAAATATATTTCTTAAATCGAATTCAAATAAAGAAAAAGTAAAATCTCATCGACTAAAATAAGTTTGTAATATGATATTGCATTTTCAAAATTTTTGAAATGATTTGCATTGACATAGAATTCAAATAGAAGTTTACATTAAAGTCAGAGATTAAGATATTGAACGTCGAAGTGATATAGAATGACATGGCACATCCAGCTGGGTAAGTTAATTGGTATGTAAACTGAAGGTCTACAAATCGATACTCTGTGTTAATTTCTCTTATGTTCTATTTAGAAAATCCTGCAAAGATCCTGTCAAGAAATTTGATAACATCCCGAAGGAAACCTAGTCCAATCCTGAAAGATGTACTCAGAAATCTTTTTTTTCCAATTTTTAATTATTGAAATCCTGACAGGATCCTACAATTCCGTGGCTACACACTTCTTTCAGGATTTGGTCGTTTCCTCAGGAAAAAATAGCGAATCCTTGCAGCATCCTGATCATATCTGTCAAGAATCTGGCGCTGAAACATCAAAGATTTTCTCTAGGATATCCTGTTTTTCCTTTAGAAACCCTAAAAAGATCTGTTAGGATCCTGAATGCAAAGATTCTTGTCATGTTTTATTCATGGCTCTGCTTCGAGTTTTAGTAACATCAGTTTGCAGGACACTTGATTATGAAAGAGGAGCCTTCTAAGAATCTTTTCAAGTTCCTACTGAGATTTTATGTTTATTTGAAAATGAAGGATCCTACTTCGATTCACTCTCAGTCTTACTCAGGACCTTGGCAGAAATAAGAGAAAGAATGTTGCTTAGATTTTATCAAAGTTTTACCAGGATCTGTTCGGAATCTTTTGGCCATCATCCTCTTCAACTTACAGTTAGATCAGACGAGGATCTTACAAAGAATAATACAAGAGCAGTGAGAACACTCAACTGATGAATCCTGCCAAGGTTCAATCAGGATCCTGTCTCGTTTTTTACGTGATCTTGTTATGAAAATTTCTTCTAACCATTTGCAGGATCCCATTCAGATCTCTTCAAGGACAAGCATTTAGGATCCTTCCTAGAAAAGGTCAAGAGCGGTCACAATCTTTCTGAGAAATTATCAAGGCCGAACGAAGATCTTTACAATTTTCACGTGGAGTTTGTTCAAAGCTTGATTTTGAGGAATCTAGAAGGTTTATGATTGACCTGTTTCAGGCTTGAAAAAATAATGAAAAGGCTTCACCAAAATTTTATTGCAGTTCCTGCTTAAGGTTCTTTGAAGATTTGCGAACCTTGGAATCTCAATAAATTAAACTGCATGGTAAGTAAAATATTAACAGCTACAAACCGAAAAGCTACTCAAGATTTCACCATGTTTTTTGTTTCAACTCTGACAGAAACACAACAGTTCAAGAACATGCCTGAATCTTATTCTGATATTCATTTGCATCTCTATGATGGTGAATGGAAGAATTCGTGCAAAATCTTAGAAGATTTTTCTTCAAATCTTTTTAAGATTTATATTGACTATGGTATGACATTCTTGGCATGGAACCCACTTACCTGTTGAATTTTATTGTCATATAATCCTTGAAAATTCATTAAAATGGAGATTTTAATATGAGTTTGATTGTTACATTAACTTTTCCTTTAAAAAGACTTACAATAAGAGACAAGTACTTCAATGAAATTTTCTAATGCCTTTCGTTCATTTGTATTAAATTATTTTAAAATATTACTTTTTCATTCAAACTGAAATCAATAAGTGATAGTAAAATTTCATGATAAATAATCAATGTATTGAGTTGAATATTTAATTTTTCGAATATTTCTTGGAATAATGTGTTTGTACAAAGTGCAAATACAAGTTAATAGTTCAGAGATAATTTAAAATGCCGATGGCTTAAGTGCAATTAAATGATTGAGTACAGTCTACTGCGGTAAAGTAATCGATTTGTAAACTGTAGACGTAGTGATCAATACTCTGTGCGTTCATTTCTCCTCTTTTCTGCGTAGAAAACCTTGCAAAGATTCCGTCAAGAAATCGGATAACATGGGTAAAGAATTTAACTGAAGTCATGCGACATGCAATCAGAATATATTTTTTCAATTAGATATCATTGAAATACTAACAAAATCCTGACATAAAATTAACGAAAAAGAGCTTGGAATGCTTTTAAGATCTTGTTCTAATCCTAGCAAAATCGTTGTTGCTTCGCAGCTGCACGTTTCTCTAAGGATTTATCGCTTCCTTAAAATATTCCTTATTAAAATTGTTTTAGTAAACTGATCAGAACCCAGTGAAAACTGTGTTTTAAATCTTGTTCAAACTATGGAATTCTGTGACTACACGAGTTTTTCAAGATTTTGTAGCTTCTTAGATGATTTTCGGTTGCAAAACAGTAATAAATTGTTCACGATCTTGATTGAATTCTGATTCAAATCGTCTGAGCATCTTGAAACTCCGTGGAGCCACCTTTTTCAGATTTTCTTGTTCCCTCAGAAAAAACGATGAACCAGTGCAGAGCCCTTGTCAAATATGTCAGAGAACCGTTCAAAAACTTCAAATATTTGCCATAAGGAAAACTCACCATTATTCATTAGAGTCTATTGAAGTTCACAAGAATTCAGCAGAAACCACCAGGTTTCATAATAATATGATATAAATATGGAAAACCTGAATATTGAGGGAACCTATTAGATCGTATAAGCCACAGGACTCATCAAGATATATCAAAATCCATCGTTACTCATCTGACTTTCAATCTCCAGGATTTCCTTTCTCTTCCTTGTTAGAAATTTCACGACCGATTCTCTGTCTTTTTACTTAGTATCCAAGGATTCTAATCGATCCACATGAATTCTAGTAGATCCTGGGATACATCAGAACTCACTCTCTTTTCTTTGTACATAGACTATTCAGGGTTGCAAAAATAGCACCTGAAGATGACATTAATTCATCGAGAACACAGTTTGGATTTTATATCCTTCTTTTATGAGTCTCGTTAATTTTCTTGGGTTTTGTGAATATTCAGAACATTAACCTATGCCGATGGATCCTGGTGGATCCTCATGGATTCTATGGATTCTGATGGATCCTAGGATCCACGAGGGTCCGCTTTTTCCTCCTTGAGGGATACCCTTGGGTCATTCAATACTAGTATTGGGGAGTGGGGGAACCTTATTTCTTCAAGCCTTGCTATACGGGGTACCATTGGGCCCTCAAGTACTATTAATGGGGTAGGGCTTGCACGTGGTGGTATGTGGGTAGGTGAATGTGAGTATGGATGCGAGAATAGTAACGTCTCCATATCTACAACAATCCCTTCATCCACATCGACAACCGCAAACACTCACACTCACCTTCACACTCACCGGTACCCCTACATTTCGTCCCTTACAACTCGTCCCATTGACATTTAGTCCCCTTACAATTTGTCCCAATTACATTTCATCCCATTACAATTCGTCTTCTTAAATTTCGTCCGAATTACAATTCGTCCCGTTACATTTTGTCCCAAAGTGTGACAATTCATTTTCATTATAGAAATATGATGTAAAATTTATTTTAACAAACTCAAGTGCTTATAGTTTCAAATTCATAACGGTTAGAGTTAAATATTCTTCAATATTGTTGACGTCACGAGAAAGTGCTATTCTTTTTAATCGTGCATCAAGATTTTCATAAATTTTTTTCTTTTTCTTTGGTTGTTCGCCAGGACAATGCTGTTCAATATCGGTCTCGAATCTAATTTGTTCATGTAAAATACGTTTAGCAAGTTTAGTAACTGAAGAATACTTGATTCTTACACGATCGTTGAATGCATAATACCATCATTCTATGGCATTATTCGATTGTGGCAAATCTTGAATAACCTGCTCGGAAATATTTCATAGCTACAAACTAAATACCGGTTTTCCACACCGACTATCTAGCTTAACGCTAGATAAAATCAAATACATGAAAAATATATTTAAATTAGCATAAACCTCTTCCTTTTTTTGTCCTATCCAAGATCTTTGAAAATAATTTAGTAGATGATAAGTTTTAGTAGCAAAATCATTGATGATCAGTGAACACCTTTTAACGATATCATTAACAGCCACAAATGCAAGACACATAGGTTATTTCACGTTCATTCTCAATTCGCCATTATCAATACATTTGTTTGAAGGCCTACAGATTTTTCATTGGCTTGTCAAATTACAATGATTCACTATACACAACACTCCGTGTACAAGAAATAAATATTTTTGAATAACTAAATACATTAGTCCTAGTAAACCTATAAGATCAAATTAAGTTAGGACCAAATGTAACGGGACGAATTATAATTCAGACGAAGTGTAAGAAGACGAAGTGTAAGGGGATGAATTGTAAGGGACGAAATGTAGGGGGACGAGTTGTAACGGGACGAAATGAG